CTAAGATACAATTTCTTATGTAATCCACGGAGCACATTACGGAGAATAGAAAATAGAAATGGAAGCACTCACGAACGAAAATGGATGCATCCTTTCCCCCCGAAGTGTTTTAAAGCTATCTTATGAAATCGATGATGAACTGTAATGCTAATTCTTTTGGTCTCCTATTTCTTGTGATTTTTTCAGATATTTTGTCCTTGTGGATGGATCAAACATATATGTGTATACTTATGATGCTCGATTGGTTTGCTCGCCACGCCAAGCCAATATACGTACGGAACTGTTGCATCCGGATGTTTTGGCCGTGAGTAACGATTCGCTAGCTGTCACGAACCGGGCAGACGAGAAATGTGAGCAGTTTTGCTAATGAATAAAGAGTCACAATTTCATTGATTCACGTCGTACTTCTTATTTATTCACTTATTTAGTTATATATTCCGAAAGAATTTTTGATGCATATATTAGTTGTTTGGAGGAAATCAGAGCCTGGTTTTCGGACATTGACTTCTTGACGATCCTAAAATCCAATGTTCGTGAGAATCTAGGATGTGCGACACATTGCGCAAGAGCATCATCAAACACCATGAAGCACGTTGAATTACTAAAACGTGTTTTAATATCATTGGAAGCTTACTTATTGCCCCGTTTCCTATAAGAATACATTAGACCACACACCGAGTATGCCATACAGGCTTGGGTCCGTGACTAATTCGCGATCAGCGGACACTAGAATATCAGCAAAAAACAGTAATCAAAATGATCAAAGAGTTACAATCTAAAACTGATGGTGAAAGGTGAGACATGTTCCTCGTATATCAAATACAACATCAACCTAACCGCCCGTGTAGTACTCTACTAACACCATCCAGGAATGGTCACCTCCGAGGACATCCGTTTAAACTTCTGCTGCAAAAGAGTCGGCTCGACTGCAGGCGTCATTCTTTCCGCCTCAGAGATTGTAATACCTGGAATTCTCCTCTACCGCGAGTTTTCCGTGCTCCAACCATCGATTTATTCAAGTCACGACTTGATGAAGCATTTAAATGCAGCTATTTAGCGCTCGTGAGTGAATGTTATAATTTGATATTTAATTATACTATGAACCGAGCCAAGTGTGTACAGATCCTATGGGATTCAATAAGCGTCAACTTTGTGAAAAACCCTTAACAAAAATTTGAATTTGAATAACCGCCGCAAACTCACGGGTGCCAGTTATGTTGTTTGTGAGAGTTTCAAAACCATCAATTATCCTCAATCAATACAATTATGAGACAACAAGGATCAGTGGAGTTTGACAGTATTTGGTACAACCAAAACAAGTCCCAACATGATAATATGTGGTCAGTACTCATCTATGACTGTCCGTTGATTAATTGCTTTTTCTTTGCTTATAACTGGTGTCATGATTGTCCATTGAGTGCAATGAAATTACAAATTATTATAAGTCATACCATTATTGTCATCATTGTGGCCTTCAGCTGTTCAATGTTTCCTTAGGGCACTTGAAAACGCGAATTCACCTGCTTTTTGTTTCTTCTAACAATATAATATGCAAGCTCTGTAACCCCGAACTTTGTTTGATGCATTAAGAAGTTCAATTTGCAATAGTAGTTGAGATAACGGTGGAAGATCATTTCACACTTCCAATTTGCATCTATTCATTGCGGCTGATACAAGATGGTCGCAAAACCAACCGTCAAACAGATGACTTATTTCAGTTTCTTTAGGTGTGCACTTTTCGGAGAACACTGATATAAGCCAGAGTTGTGAGCCAATTCCGCTAAGGTGATTTGAAGTTTCTACAGAGCCAACCGTAACATGTAAATCGTTTTGTTTTCGGTCAAATTACTGCTAAATAACTGTACTGCATTGTGAAAAATCAAGAAATCTGTTGTTCCCGATTTCAGCCGTCTATCTTTTTGACATATGCACTGGAAAACCGCTGGGAGATGGGAAACCAGTCGTACATTCAGTGAGTTTGTGAGCTCAGTTATTCAGATCGTGATGTGATTTATCCGCTCAGAGATTTCTTCCAATATAAAACTAATCCTGCTCTGGTATTGTTCAGCTAACGACTATTCCTTAACTGGGATATAATTTTACTTTCAAGTAAATATTGCTATAAAATTGAACTAGTCGATTCTCATTTCATGGCCTTGTTAATTGGAAATAGGAAACCAGGATCCGTTGATAGCAGATCGGATTCTATCAAAACACCCTTTTAAAAGTTTGATTTTAGGACCTGAAATTTGGCTATACAAATGTATTCCACCATTCCAATTGGGAAGGTATCTTAAAGTTGATATGATGGTAATCCTTTTTAATTTATGTTTTGAAGAAAAACATGATTGCCTTCTAGGAAACGATAGGTAATTTCAAGAGAGCTGTGGAGGCAAAATAAATGAATAATAGTAGCAAGTGACACTCAAAGAGCATATCGATTGTTGACCAAATATTGGAAATGCTACTCTCGTAATAATCAATTTCACGATATCGTGATATCATATAGTTAGTGAAGGATAAGCACGTTTCATTAACATCCATGGCAAAAACCATGATCTCATTTGGGATTGATTGTATATCTTGATAATGATTTCACTTTCCCCTCGATTTGTGATCACCAACTTATTCTAAAATTACTCGTCTTTTCACAGACAGAAATTATAAAGATTGGTTTGGATCAATGTGGTCAACCGTTAGAGCGGAGATTGGTGATACTGGATCGAAACAAAGATTTGTACCTGATGTCCATTCGAGTTTTTGGCACGAGCAGAAAATTGGTCAAATTAAGTAAGTGAGTCTGAACACGGCTGTGGTTTGTAGGTAATGTTTAAACAACATGATCAGTGAAACAGCAGATTGATGTTTCTCGCTAATTTGATGCAAATTGAAAACCGCCACTGAGTATACCGTATGTAATTGGTTTGGTTTTAGTTTGACTGCCGTTTCTTGCAATCGACTCCGTGCTAGACAGTTTGATCAGAATGGGTCTCTCGTAATGTGAGTTTTATGCTCCCCAGACTCGAGCAATAAATACATGTTGACAGGTACTATGGAGAATGCGAAATAAAGTCCGAAAGAGATAGCAAGAATAAGTATATTTGTTCACAGAACCATTGAGGGGGATTCGATTGCAGAATGTCGTTACCACGGTACTTGGGATTCTAACAATGTGCCTGTGCTTCATTTATTGATTTCTAATGCGAAATTGATTTTAGTTTTGTGCTTACGGTTTCTATGGCATAAGTGTAACTGTACTCGTGCATCAGGAGCACTCGCAGAATCAAATGGTAAAATCATTTAATCGAAGATAATCTCAGTAGATATACAGATACAACCATTTCTGATTCAACCCATAAATCATACAATCTAATGAAAGAGAATAATGTGAAATGAAAATTTCCGACGTGATAGTTTGAACACTGTTCCAAGAAACCAGATCAGCTTCAAATAAGAAATACGTCTACTAGTTTGCCGCAAGCACAAAACCAACAGGAGATGTAAACATTTTGTTAACCTCTGCATTTGTTTTATTCAGTTTACCAATCTCCAACACAAGTGTTTATGACATGTTGACTGCAGTAGTGTGTACTGAAAGTGATAGAACTAAATTGATTGTGCAGTTGACCATCTGAGTCGGCTTCACAATCAGTCACTTCCTGTTTTCATCGCTCATATCAATTCACGGTGCACGACACGTATGCGGTTTCTGTATTCTTTTGGAACAATCTGATTTGAACATAATTCCCTCCTGAACCTTTTTGCATGATTCAAACACGGCTGTAATGCACTCGTGGCACACACATTACATGTTTCAGGTACAATGGCGACTTCTTTTGTGTGGTGCGAAACGTCCAATCTACTCGCGGCCGTCTCAAATGACACTCTGTCCGTCTGGTTCTATCCGAACATTGCATTTATTGACAACGATTTGTTGAACTTGACAATGCAAGAATTCGAAAATCAGTAAGTGGAATCGTTTGAACGCGAAACGAGTGATTCATTTATTCGAATGTCTTTCTGACTTAGTGAGAATGTTTCTTAGCACTTGTACCAATTATAATGACTTGATTGGAAAATTTAAAAATTTAAAATTCAAGAAATTACGATCGATTGCCTAAGAGTGAGAGAGGCGGCCCTCATTCAAAGACTTTCCGAGAATATTTAGGACTGAAGAGTCTGGATAGAGGTGGATGAATTCTAACACATGAACCAAATACTGGTTATTAAAAGCCAAAGCCATTTCGCACAATCATGTTCATTTTCAACTCGGAATAATATATATATATATATAACAACAGTTTTCAGTTTGCACAACCATTAACCACGCATATTTTTGCGCCGGTTTTGCTGTCTTTTAGCTGCCCTGGAAGCGGGCGACTTGTTATAAAAAATAAATAAATATCTTTTTACTTCCTTTCTTTTTTATTGAATGTACAAATGTACAGTCAACATTCAAGAAGGGAGCTGCGGCCCTACAAAGGTTGCCTGGGGAAATACATAAATAGGGAAGACGGGCGGCGGTGGAGAAGTTCGAACTCGGGACACACTGGTCACAATTTGGTGACCTAACCACTTCACCATTACTGCGGTTCTTGGCGCTCGTCAGGCATGCGTATCCGGTAGTCTTTTGTCTTTTCGTTCATATACTTGTACCCAGGAAGTGTATTTTCGCCACAATAACCTCATTTGCATCACCAGGTAATTCTTTTAGTACAGCTCTTTCAGATCCAGTCCATTGATGAATCAATACTATGATTCGATGTTTTGTAGGTGGGTAGGACACTACTAATATATAAGTAAATAGATAAATAAAGATATACATGGCGATATATTAGAGTTCACTTATCCGCAAAGATTTATTATCAAACTTCAAGCATTTCATTTTTCAAAGCGACAGTTTGAGAATGTCACCTAATCCACTGGTAACCATGACGCCTAACTGGCAATAATTTGTGTTTCAGCGAGGAGTTTGGCAAACATCCGGAGTTGTTAAGTTTCTATCGCGATCGACTACGTCTACGTCGCACCGATGGCAGTGAGATGTCATTCACCGTGTCGCCCTATCCGGACAAGCTTCATCAGTTGATTCTGCTAAACAAGTGGAACGAAGCCTTGAGCTTCTGTCGTAATGTCAAAGTGAGTGTTTGTTAAGTGATCTTCGAAATAGACGTTCCGAAATCACACGTTCTGCATTATTATTTCTCACCCTATAAGATACGTGAGGGTATATTATGAGTTATATTGATTGCTGCTGAGGTTGTACCAGGAACACCCCTTGATTTTACAGGATCCACGGCACGCAGAACCCCATTCATTATTTTTGATTCGATTAATCTCGTCAACTATTTCTCTATTATTTATTATTCTTATTATTTATTGATTTATCTATGCGGTTTATATTTTTACATTATACGCTACTTCTAAGAAGTTTTCCAAGTGGCTTATCTTCTTCTGAATATATATTATGTTTCACACGTTTCTGAGTCCACACTGTGCCAGACAAATCACGCTACAATAGTCGTTATAAAAAGAAAAATGTCCTGCTTTTCTCGTGAGCGGGATACTTTCAGTTTACATTGACCAAAGCAGGTGAATTTCTTTGGGGAAATCACAACTGAAGGCTTTGACTAGCCAAAGCTTGACTCACAAGACGGTGGGGCAGTGTTTGAAAACCACTATCCACTAGAGGTCGGTGTGCAGTCCATCGGATGATAAGCCCTTTGGACGGTGTCAAGCATTCAAGATGTCCAATGCACCTCGAGGCCCAGACGAGCTGGTGATCACTGCGACAAACAGGACGATGTGGATGTAGGTTTTGTACGCCACATCTCAGTTGGTTTTGAATCATGTATTTTAGCCAACTCAGCCTAGGCGAAGTGCAAGTGATTCATCGAACCTGTTCTAGCTCAGGATGTTAAATTTTCGTCCTCTGACTTTGTTGGGAAAACACCTCCTCTAGGTGAAGGCTATCATGGAACGTTTATCCTTTTATAAAGATTATTGCACCATGATTTATTTGGCACACATTCTGAACTCAAATGTTCGTGAAATACAATACATACGCGAAGGCAGTGTGTAGGGCTTCCTCAGAAGTGGTTATTTCAGACACTTGATCATATGGGAGCATTTTTCAAGGTGCAAGGGAAGGATGAACAACCAAAACCCAAAACACGCACCCCCTATCACACAGGCTTTTTCGGAAATGTTGATATTATTCAACAAATCATTCGGTGAACATCTTTTGCCCACTCGAAATAAACTTTGGGTTGCCCCTACATCCGGCTATCCATGAAGTGTCAAGTGTAAGCTGCAACAGTTTGAACGAGGCTGTTGTATTGTGCAAACACACGACCGTTACGCCTACCAATAAAAAGTTCTCTGTTATTGGTAGAGCGCCACTGTCTACGATTCATTTCATCAATCCAGTGGGATAATCGCGTAGGCAATGCTGAACACCAGAAAAAAGCATTTCGGTTATCCAATGACACAACTGCTTGACTTCAGTGGGTTCTGGCAACTGGGGGTTGTGACGTATATGTTACCAAATAGGCTAGTCCTCGAATTTCAGTGTTTGCCGAGAAGGGAGTGTTTGAAAGAAGGCTAGCGATGATCTGAACATGACTCGGTATGAAGTTATGATATAATTGACTAAGATACTAATCACCTAGATCGCCTTAGGTCTTCCTTGTAATCGACCTAACTAACTGTGAGAGACACTTGGTGGTACCAGTTAGCGACGTAAACAGTGGCTATTTGGCAGTTAGTCATCGCATGTACACTTCACCATAGTTCCATAGCTGTATCTCGGTAAAGACCTCGGTTATTTTTATCTACTTGAATCGACCAGTCAAATGTGCAATCAAAACCAGCTCGTATAAATGCACAATCATGATTGCGCTAACCCAAATTGCATTCGGAATACCTCATTCATGATATGAACTCTTTCCCAATTGAGTGAGTCAATTTTTATCATCCCCAAAGTTCCATTCCCATGTTTGTAACGTAAGCTCAAGGTGAAGCAATTCCTTGTTAACGCCCATAGTAACTATATCGATCCTATTGCCCCCTTCCCAAGAACATTGCGATAAATTATGTCATTCCTTTATTTGCGCATTCTTTGATTAGGACAAGCTACTCTGGGCTTGTTTGGCGGGCTTCGCAACCTACGCGAAAGATCTGGATGTTGCGGAAATAGCATTTTCAGAAATTGAAGAAGTGAGTTTTGAAACCTTTTTCGCTTCATCGGTCTTATTCTCGTGTGAAAATTTGTTAATTTAGCGGGGACTAATAGGACCAGAACCCTGATAAAGGACAAACGACAAGAAATGATGGCATGGGCTTACCAATATGCGATGATGATGGGGATACAAACCCCTTACAATGAAACTTGCTCCCGTGTCTTTTAGATGACTTGTGTGCATCTCGACACTACACCTTTTCCTATCAATCTTTAGCCAAAGCCCGCAATGCTTAAGCCTCGACCCACAATCCTTGAGCCGAAACCATCAATGCTTTAGCCAAGACCAGTAGTCCGTTAGCCTCAACACATAATCTTTAGTCATACCGTTGTCGACGAGTCAGAGCAAAACTTATTGGAATATTTGGAGGTCAAGGAATGTTGAAACATTATTTTCTATCACTGTCGATGTTACTGAGCTGGGTTAAGCAATGAGGTGTGGCGGCCGCACGCTGCACCACATGTTGACAGGAGAAGGTTTAAACGATGTGCCCGTATCGTCAAACCATTTGACACATCTTGTAAAGCTTCACTCTTTTGCATAACATGTGATACTCCTGTGAGTAAAAATCTCATGTCACACAAACGTTACACAGATATGTGTTCACAAACCCTGGAATAAATCAAAAGGTGATACCAAAAGAAATTAATGCTTACCGTTCAGTATTTCCACTCAAAGTAAATTCTGTTCATGAAAGGTGGATACATTAAGATGTTTAGACTAACAATCCCTGTTCACAAGACTACACCCCATCACTAAGAACAGAGAGAAGACAAATACCGCGAGATCTTAACATGTCCTCGATTGCTACAACGTAAAACAATCTGGCGTTTATACAAGCAAGTTTTGATATCTACAGTGGTTCAACGGACAACAGTCAGGGTAGAGGAATCTGTTTCTCAGCAGTCTGACAAATTGTGTCAGAAACTTTTGTGCACACAAGATTGGTTTATCCAACATGCTTAACATAGACTCGCTAAACGCCAAGATCCTGGGATTCGCGCTACGCTATAACGGCTTNCGGCTTGAACGACAAATGTGGGTCAACGATGTGTCCATGAGATGTTTTTCGATTGACGACCCTGGATTTCTTTTATCAGATTAACCTCTAAGATTGTGTTGCGTCGCTGATTGTACTAGCCACTTGGGAATATGTTCAAATATCCGTTGTGACAGGGGCCGATTCGCGCTGCCGATGTAATTGTCATCGCAACTGCAGATGAACAGGTAGCGACTGATACGATTAAAAGAAATGTTAACATCTCGCATTATTTGTCTCCTCTGTGTTCTAACGAGTTGAATAAAGGGGACCCAATATTTCAAACCCCCATTACTGTCAGTAGTTTACTCAGACTGCAACATTTGGCATAATTACGACGGTTGAGGCTCGAGAAATATGGGTTTCGTCTAACGCTTCATGGAAAAGGTTATACTAGAGGGTGTGCTTTTGTGAACAGTGATTTTTATCCTCAACCTGTACCCACTTCTCATGAACAGAATTTACTTTGAGTGGAAATACTGAACGATAAGCATTAATTTCTTTTGGTATCACCTTTTGATTTATTCCAGGGTTTGTGAACACATATCTGTGTAACGTTTGTGTGACATGAGATTTTTACTCACAGGAGTATCACATGTTATGCAAAAGAGTGAAGCTTTACAAGATGTGTCAAATGGTTTGACGATACGGGCACATCGTTTAAACCTTCTCCTGTCAACATGTGGTGCAGCGTGCGGCCGCCACACCTCATTGCTTAACCCAGCTCAGTAACATCGACAGTGGTAGAAAATAAAATATCTCAACATTCGCTGACTCCTAAAAATTCCGATACGTTTTGTTCTAACTCGACTACAACGATATGACTGAAGTTTGTGTCGAGGCTAAAGGACTGCGGGTTTTGACCAAAGCTTGATGGGAAAAGGTGTAGACATATCACAGGTTTCTTTCCGTAACAGAAACCGTTAACGCATCGTAGATGAAGTGTGGAATAGCGAGTGCTGTTGGAAAAGATTTATCTTCAAATTGAACTTTACCAAACTCCCGGTGTACACATTCATTCAAGGGACAAATCGAATATTTATATTTGCTCCTCGATGGTGCTCTCTAAATACTCTTATTTTAAAAGGTTCACCGAAACTTTCACGAATTTCTATCTAGTTAACCTTCACCGTTGGTGAATTTCATAAAGAACTGCGTGTTTAGAAATATATGTTGTAAATTAAGGTGATCGATCGAACCATCGCATCGTTAAGTTCAAATTAGATCAATACCAGCCAAACTCCCACATCCTAACCTGTGACCCAAGGCAGCGTCCCAACGTCTGCAGTCACCCCTATCCTGAAAGTTGATTGTGTAGTTGTTTTAAATACAAGAGTACAGAATTTTACATAACCACTATTATTGTTATTATTTCACGGAGTTCCTGCGAAATTTTTTGAAAACTTGTACACTGCTTGTCCGATCCTGTGCTCCGTAAGACTAGTTTGACAATAATGAATACATTGGTTATCTAGCTCTTTAGTTTTAAGTCATTTAATTACTGAAATAAATTGGCTGAATCAATCAAGAGCGCTTTTCGTGTGTTCTTCAAAGGGTGCTCCTCCTGGATGTCGTATATTCTGATAGGTATCAGTTACTTTCGAGGACCTAATATCCGTCGTTCCCACAAAGATTCGGCGCTTTGTAAATACCGCCACTGCCCTATATAAAAGTGGGAAACGAATCTGATTGAATTACCGGAGGAACAGGCAAACCAGGGAAAATCGGACTCTGGGTTGGAAGTCTTATTCACCCTGTTATCAGAACAGCCTTCTTATCGGACTTTTCCGTATGGAGCGAAAGCATTCTATTTACCATTTTTATTTGAGCAACTCATGACGCTTATCATTGGATAATAATCGCGATCTGTTCGTCACAATGATCTCGACTGAAAGTGGCCCGTGAGATTGATAAGCAAAGTGAAAAAGTGTGTTGCAGAAGGCATCTGATCGAGCACCATGTTCCTTTTCATCTTACCACTGACCCGCACTAGGTCAATGGCACGGCTGGATTATAGAGCCTTATGTTCACCATATCCACTCTTTCCGTCAGTAGATCTGGGTGTCTTAATGGAACTAGGATCTCGAAAAAGCTTGAAAAACCAATTCATTTAACCTGAGTAACGAGCAGAAGCATTTGTCGAAGTGGTTTGTCAAATACTAACTAAAGGGATGGCCGTGTTAAACGTACCCCTGAGAACAATTTTATTTCGTGTTCACACCTCCCTGTTTATCTTTGCATTCAGAATACCAATTTCGTGGTGTTGATCTCCTTGAAAACCCACTGAACTTTTGTCTTGTTTTTCAGGTGGATAAAGTGGAGTATTTGCGTCACATCAAAAGTCTCCCGACGAAAGAACTACGGAATGCAGAACTACTTCTTTTGTCCGGTAAGTGATCTCCACGATCACGAAACAACTCATTATTAAAACGGCCACTGTACATCCAGTAAAATCAGAGAAAAATTAACGAACCGAAATTCTTCATTCGGGATTCAATTCCCATTTTCAGGAGAACATCAAGACGCGGAAGGAGTGTTGCTTCAAGCCGGAATGCGTTTCAGAGCAATCATGCTTAATTTGAATTCCTATCGTTGGGAACGGTAAGGTGTTTGTATGGATATGCAAGTTCGTATACCATCTGTGGTGCAAACGTTTGCAATCAGTTCACCTTGTGCCTTTCTCCGAGGTACGAAGTCAATTTATCCATGTATTACTTGTTTTATTATGCATCTCATAGAAAGCACTCCACCGGTGATCATTTTTTTACGTAAATATACTGCAACACATGGGATAGACACGAGGAAACCAGTGAACGATATCTCCATTGACTTTGCAGCAAATCCAGAAACAACAATAATAATAGAGAGACACAGTTTTAGCGCACCATCTAGAAGTAAACACCGAAAAATGACAAATGAGATCAATATTTCGCTTGTAACGGATATTTACACTATTCAATTGTATCCACGGAAAGGATATCGCTTCAGTAAGGTGGACTACGTTTAACTGGTTACAAGCGTGTCTATCTGATCAGATTAGGCGTCCAACATAGTTAATACATTCCACAGCCTTACTCAGCTGCTATACTGAATTTTTCGGAACCAATGCGTACGTTCGATTTCCAGTCAAATGAATACAATCATTGACCTGTTAACTCTGCGTCGACATCAAAATGCGAACCAAACAACCAAGTTAACCAGTCAACGTTTAGAAATGTTCACTTGATATCGTTTTGCATGACTAAGCACATTCGAGTTGCACCACCTATTTAATAAACGCACTGTAAACTTCAGAAATCATGTGCCATCGAAAGATGATTTGACTGATCACAGTCAGCTTTTTGTCTATTTTAGAGCGTTGGAACTGGCTGTCAAATATGATTTGGCTACAGACATCGTTCTGTCCACACGACAAGCATATTTGCAACAGTTCTCCTGTTCAGAAACACTAGAAAAATATCTTGCGCAACCAAAACAAGTGAGTTTTGTGCTCTGAAATAATCATCCCTGATACAACTGATCCTCGCATATATTCGACACTAAATGATCTTGACTTAGTACATGAAGAGGCTTAGTAAAATATAGAACGGCTGAAGGGAACGAACTTAAAAGTTGTGATGTTGTTTAATGTCAAAAGTTAATTCGCGCTATTTTCCTATCATTGTTTTGTTTTCAGAATGCGCTTAGCCTGAAGGCATTAAAAGAACGCATTGCTGAAGAATATCAACGAGAAAAAGACAATCGAGATAAAGTGGAAACCGGTGACACTGTACCCGCACAACGTGCTCGACAGACCACGGTTAATAAATGATCATCCGGTTATTTGCTGTTTTTGAGAGTTCATACAATAACACTACCGACAAGAAGTATCTCATGCTTTTCTTTCCTACATTCGAATGGGCAATCTAAACACGATAACCTAATCTGAAACTGATGCTTAGGAAATTTATATATCTTTGTGTATTCTCGTGGTTTTCGAAATTCAGATAGTTTCCCAGATTGCAAGAGGCACTGTGTGGGCCCATAATTTGAAAATTACTTGAATTTCGAAGAAGCAAATAACCTTGGAGCCTAGCGCTCTTTTGTTTCTGACTCCGTCAGGTTTTTGTCCACCGCAAAAAGAGATATCCAAGTAGTTGACGTATCACCTAAATCGTTGATTTTAATCAGGCAAAAGTGAGAACAGATCTCCTTCGGGAGTATCCTTCATTACTGCATGGAATTCGGCAAATTAATTTAGATAACGTTAGCCGCTCCACAATAATCAGACAAACTGGACGGTAACTCCAGACAGACAGCATTAAAAGCCAAATGGAAGTGATTTAAATTGGCACATAACAAATAATACTGACAATTACGGATTTATTGTATCACTCTTCACCCATTTGACTCGAGAAAGAGCATACAGCTATTTCACTAGCCATCTAGGTCAACGAAAGTGCGTTTATCATGAACCAAATGGAAATACAGGGTTGCCAATCCAGTGAGACAACCAATAGAGCTATTTGGGCTAGCTTTTGACAGGTCGATTTACTTTATAAAATATATCGTGTTTCGTAATCACTAGCCCCACCAGACAGCAACAAAAAAAGGCTCAAACTCGCAAGGAAAAAATGGAGGATTTGATTTGTTTTGATGATGAATTCGTCGTGAGCTGAAAAGCACTGGACAACTGTTTCGACCTGATTGGGTCGCACCAGCAGTGCGAATCCATCGACCCAACTGGGGTTCGAACCCGGGACCTCACAGATAGAATGCAAGCATACTACTCACACAGCCACCAGGGAGCTGATCATACCGTTTCTCATTTTGAATTTATACGATATAACACAGCCTATCTATGCGGGACTGTTCCCAGTAGAGGTCCTGGCTCATCTCAGCACTAGCCTCCAGGGATATGACTTGACTGGAAACTTTCACAACCTGATATTTTTCATGGGAGAAACGGAGGATTGATTTGTTTTGATGATGAATTCGTCGAATAAACGAGACTGATGAGACCCAACCAGGTCGAAACAGCTGTTCAGTACTTCCCAGCTCACGCCTCACTTAAACGACGAATTCAACATCAAAACAAATCAAATCCTCCATTGCTACCATGAAACAAATAATCAGGTTGTGAAAGTTTTCAACCAAGTCATATCCCTGAAAAAGATTCTGTTATCGGTAGGTTTATTACCACCTATAAATTGACAGTTCTTGTTACGTTGTCTCTGAACTATCCATCACACCGAGGCAATCAGTACAGCCGTAGAGCTACGGAGATTGTTAGACTATTGTTTCCCTATAGTTCAACGTTATGTGGTGTGCCTGGGTGTTGAGTCATCATCAAAAATGAGACCAGCAGATGACCCCTAGTTTCCAATATTTCTACTCCTGTGTAGGTAAAACGACAAAGGTGGTACAGATTGTTTTAGAGGAGAAAATACGTGAGGAAAACACTCATTAAAAATAAGAGCTGCGTCAGTCTTGTGCACTGTCCATTGTTATCGGTTCATTATTTGTGGTGGATTCTTTTATAGGATCTTCTGTCTGTTGGCTGGTATCATTTGTGTCTGGCTCCTTGATATCTGGTTGCGATGAATCTGTCGCATCCGTTTGCGCATCACCTTCTGGAGCAGTATGTACGTTTGGTGTTTTATCGACAGATCGAGTCGCGGCCGGCTCAGCCACCGGTTTCGAAGCTTGAAGTCGGGCCATCAGAGCATTCACACGTTCCTCGTACAAATTATGTACATAAGTGGTCATTTCGACCATGTCTTTTATCACGACCGGAGCCTGTGTCAGTAATTCCGTTTGAAGACGTTGCATGGAAGAGGCGAGCGCACTTCTGGGGTCCTAAAAAGTTAGAGGTAGAATCCCACAATCTGATTGAGAAAACATGAGCAGCATGTGTTTTATGTAACCCGAAAATAAGCGCAATCAGTGCCATAACTGCTACAAACGATAATGGAAACTTTCTGATTTGCCAAAAGGAATTGTGTATTTTCGCGTACAAGAATTGCAAGATCAAAACAACTGCATTTACAAAATCAGCTGTAAAGAATGCCCCGCAGAATGCGTTGGGCAAACCAGTAAAGACAAAGGATAATCGAAAATAAGAGAGACGAAAAACATCGGCCCACAAAGAAAACAACTCTGGCAAAACTAGAACGAGACTCAGCGATCGCTCTTCACGCCATAGTCGAAGATCACACCATAAACTGCAACAACCCGAAAATACACCAACTCGGATTTCAAACATGCACTGAACGCTTATATGTCGAAGCTCTGGCCATTAACACCCACTCTGCATGTATCAACAGAAGACGGAATCCAGATCCCAAGCATTTTGACTACTCTTACATCCCTAACGCACAATCACGATAAAAGTTCACGGTGCCACTTGACTCCATCTGATAATGGGAGTTAGTACGACAAACAACGAATCATTCAGCCCACCACACACGATGAAATATCCGTTGACCGGTGATCCCTCCCTCTGAGTCATTTGATTGTAAACCCTGCCTTGAGAAAGGTTACCCACGGTAACCGAAACGTCGACGAACATAATTCTCTACCGGTATGGCTGTGTTATTAACATTATAACATTCACAATATGATTTGAGTTTGAAAGTTGAGAGAGAGAGAAAGATAAAAAAACACTTCAGTTTTAAACCGAATTTCAACATTGCTATACAGCCGGAACATAGTCATCACATGTGACCAGCAGAAAACGATTCTATCAACTGCACACCGGCCATGCGGTTTTTACACACCGCTTTGTTACCCTTTGGGGCAGACTTCAGTTGTAGCTAAGGGCTCCGGCTGTGAATGCCTAAGGAAGTCACCTGAAAGTATCGCGTTCATGAGAAAAAATCATGGATCAAATTCTTTGTTAGATCTGTACTTTAGCCAAGATTTGCAT